CGCGGCTTTAAATATGTCTTGCGTACTTACAGCGGGAGAGAGCTTTTATGCTCAAGTTCAGCGTCTTGAGGCATATGGATACCCAAGTTCAATTTTGTTTGGCGTCGACAAATCCATGATCACTTCCAGCGAACGACGAGACAGAACAACGGACAAGAACCAAAGGCCAGCAGTGATACCATACATCCATCGAATATCTCAAAACCTAAAAAAGATCGCATCAAGGTATCAAGTCAAGGTTGTACTTTCTGCCCCGGACAAACTAAAGTGGTTGTGTCCAAGGATACACAAGAGCCAGACACCGCAAGCCGAGTGTAATGTTAAACATGAAAAGAAATACGTGGAGTGCCAATGTGTAGTGGTGTACCCGATACCGTTGGAAGAGCGCCTTTAGAGCGGGCGAGACTAGAGCACCGACGTTAGAGCGCGCGACACGAGGGCGCTGCGACAGTAGCGCGCTTGACACTAGAGCGCGCGTCACGAGTGCGCATTGCCAGTTGAGCGCGCGACACCAGAGCGCACAACCAGTTGAGCGCACGACACGAGAGTTGTACCCGCGGCTCCACAGACAGAACAAAATCGTGCAACTCATCAAATTTAAGCATTGGTGATTTTTGATTGATTGAATATACCTTTAATAAAAAAAAAATAAAATGGGTACGACTCTTTTAACCAATTGTTTACTAGCATCGGAGATAAAAGGGGGCAGGAGATTGGGCTGGGGCACATAGGTACCGGGAAAGTTTGCAGTTGAGTGGAGCAGCGAGTCTAATATTTCTTCACAGTGCCGTGGTGCGCCTCTCGGATATACTATAGATTGTTTATATTTTGCTATATTTGATCTATTCTTGACAGGGCATTGGGGCTCCGATCTACTTGGTGGCTATTTAGACGGCCCTCGCATCCGTTTAAATGGTATTCTGACGTCCATTTCCGTAATGAAGAAAGCTCACCGCTAAAAAAGTATCAGTGAAAAACTCATCGAAGGAATTCTCAGCGCAATTTTATCGGAGGCAGATCTTTCCAGACTTTTGACGGATACAGGAAAATCTCTCTTGCCAATCTGTGATTTATAAAATCAAAGAACTAATGAATCAGTTGTCATTTTTTTTGTTGTTGTTGGTTTTTGCAAAAATGCACGCTACAGATTTTGTTTTTGTTTTGTTTTTTTGCTTTCAGTCTTTTGTAACACTTGTTGGTTTGTCACACGCATAATTCCGTCGACTCATTTCACAATGTCATTGCTGATTGCGGGCGGCGTAAATCCCCGCCAATTTCTCATAAAACACGCGATGCCCGAACAAGTGATCGGTCCCGTCGGGCCATCCGCGCTGGACAGGTTGTGCGCTCTCGTGACGGGCTCTCTGAGGACACGCGAGCTAACGTCGCCGCGCTCTCGAGTCGCGCGCGCTAACGTCGCCGCGCGCGCTAAGTTCGCGGCGCTCTTGTGTCGTGCGCTCTAGTGCTGTACAGCCGATACCGCTTACCGGCGGGAAAGTGTATGGGGGCCAATCAGGGCGAGGTGTCAATGAGCGCCTAAGAGAACACGCCATATCTCTCAAGTCGCCACCAGCGGGACACCTAGCCATAAATGTAAGATTTTGCAATTGCTCCGTGATGTTTAGCAACACGAAAATCTTAAAACGTTTCAGGACTAAGAAGTGCTCGCGAGCTGTGCGAGGCACAAATCATTTTGTCTAGTGGGGATGGCAATGTCAGTGTGCCATCAAAAGCCATGACTAGCAAAGAACTCAATTACTTCAGCTTCATTCCATGAGGAACTGCGACCTCTTATGTCCTTTAAGTTCATACTCTGCCCAAACTTTGCCTTTGTCTATTTTATCAGCATCTCTCTTTTCGGAATTTCGGGGCATTTTTTTTTTTAAAGGAATAATTTGACTATTTTTTATTTGGCTTGGGAGTGTATTGCTAAAAACTGAGTACCCTTAGTAATTTCCCGTTTAATGGTGCAAATGGGATTCACTTTACGTATAACGTATGTTTTTGTAAAAATATTCTCCTCGTTTTTTTTTGTTATTTTTTTCTTTGCATTTTGATAACACCCTAAACATCGTTCTTCTCCTTCTCTTTAGCAAATATAAATGCCAGTAGTTAGTGAGGTCACATTCCTGTCTCCCTCGCGTTTCCTTCCTCGTCGTTTTGAGCTAAAATATTCTAATATGTACAACCAACCAGCCCGCCAGATGATCTGAATGCAACAGCTTCCTCAACCTATGACAACTTTACCTGGCGCAATTGCTTTCAAAAATGCCGTTTCTTGTTTTTGTATATATTATAAGTGCCTTTTGCCTTTTTGTTTTGTTTATGTGCTTATCACTCCCCTCTGGAATGTTGTTTAACCGGGGTAGTACATAAATAATAAATGAACAATAAAAGATCTCCTCGTGGCTCTTTTTATTTTTTTTATTTTTTAAAATATCAAGTTTGGTTGCAATATAGCCAGAACGTTTAAGCTATGGGTCAAAACAAAAACTCTAATTTTGTAAATGATATGTATTGATTCAGATATTTGTTATCTAGCTAATACAACATATTCAGTGTTGTGGTAACTTCTGAACACAGTTCTTGCTGCCCTGAACATTTATGGTAAATTTTTTTATATAGTGGGATGCATCATACATAGTATACATTAGAAAAATATACTAGATCACTCACTAATTTAGTAAGGTTATTCTAGTTTGCAATTCTTGCTCCAAAAAAATCAACGTTGCATACAAATTGATGTGTATTGGAGATAAATATATAGATTGATTCATAGAAATGAAAACATACAAAATTACGCAACCCAACGTTTTCACCCTTCACAACTACATTGTGAGCAATGAAAAGGAGCGTATAAACGTAGAACTTAAAATAAATTCTTAATATTGGAACCTGTGAAAACAAACTGAAGAAAACGTGACAACATAAACATAATGCGGGGTTAATGCGGTAATGCATTTCATGTAGTTAACTTAAACTTAATGCAAAGCTAGTGCAGTCATGCAAGTTAAGGCTAGAGAAATCTAACACACATCTTGTGACTCCGACGGAATGGGGACTGTTCACAAGCAGCGCGATACCCTTGCTTCGGGACAGTTCTTGTAAGCACTCAGTTCAGACATCTTTCCAACCGGAGCATACAACGACAGCTGAAAATGAGCTGGAACTAGCCAGAAGAGTACATACTAAAAAGCAAAAAGAAATGTGTTAATAGGGGTTCGAACCCAGCTCACCAGCGTGGCAGCCACGTGCGTTTCCAACACCGCCACGCACGCGGAAATACCATGAGTGAACCCATGACATATACAGATCGTTCGCGAGTTTCAATGTTTACAGGAAAAAACATCGGTGGAATGAATTTATGCTATCGTTGAACCTTTATGTATGCAATGAGGGGCCTAGTCGGCGATGATACTCCGCTAAGCGAAGGACTAGCGTGTCATGAGGATCTGGAGGATAAAAATATATTTGAAGAAAGGTTAGCTATTTTACGACAAAGCCACCAAGTCGAAAAAAAAAAGATATTTAGAAGCGGAGATACCATGGATGTTAAAGAGTAGTTATTTGTAATAAACTTTGACACGCAATGATTGACTGTTTTAGGTGTCCACAATTTTAAACTGAATATGGAAGTCAAACTGCGATTCGGTGTTATTTTAAAGCAGCTGGTTCTTGAATTGCTTCTGGTTCGAGAGTTTTGATGTGTTAAACCAATATTTGTTGAACTCGTATTTGTGTGATATATCACTCTGATATAGATGTTCATATTTGCTCGGGAAACGACTGCCATTAGAAAAGTATCCGAGGCACGACACAGTTTTATACAGTATCAAAGCAAAAGTTTAGCAGGACGACCTTAGAAATGAAACATCAAAACTGCACTCTTTACTACTCGCTGCTGTCCCAGTAAAGCAGGCAAAGAAGAAAAAATAGGCGAAGAGATTCGAAGAAATGTGCAGTGATCATAGTCATGTTACCTTCAGATTAAGCAGAGGAGCGAATGTGCCCGCCGAAGGCGATACGCAACCAGCCAGTTTGGTTTTAAATTTTCGAGCAAGAATAAATTGCTAATGCGAAATCAGCACTAAAAAGAAGTAATTTTATGGCAAAAAAAAAACAAAAACACAGATCGCTTGAGTTAAACTCTATGCTTATATTAAAATAATACTGAAGCGCTATATGAAAACGTGCGTAGTGTATGATTTTTTTTTACTTTATTTTGTTTTTACGGAACATTTCTTTTAAAATTTACTAAACCGCCCTCTTCATTACTTTACTCTAAGCTTATGGGTCAACAATGTGGCTTCCCTAATAAATAATAAATATATGAATCTGTCGAATAAGCATAAACGAACCTCTACAACCACACAATATATTCCATTTATTTTATATACAACATAGTGTAGGCCAATATTCCGGCCGAAGCAGAAGTGAATGTAATATTTAAACAAAATTAAAAAAACCAAGGTTCTTCGCCTGTTCTAATTTATGTATGGTCTAATATGCTCGCTAGACACATCATACATAAAAATCGTATTTCTATAAGGTGGACCATGCATGAATAAAACGGATAAAATGAAATAGCGTTACACGCACAAAAAAAAAAGAGAAGGTCAGATTCAAATTTTTGTGCAAAGGACAACCAGTCCTCATCTAAATCCTTCGCAGTAATAAATCAGTGCACACCAAAATCGAAACGTCATGTTTGTGTTTATTGAAGCCGACATATATTATCAAGAGAGACATTTATTGCCGAACGAGTCTCGTAGCAGAACCGTCCAATACTCGAACGGCGAAAGCCTCGGCTACGCGCCAGAATTATGTCTGTTCAGCATCGGGACATATCAAATAGTGTACGAGCCTCTCGGCGGGGAAGGAGGAAAGATATTGCTCGTATGGGACATCGGTCTATATCTTTGGAAGAAGGGGCCGCCTGACAACAGCGGCCTCGGCGGTCACGTGACTTCAGTCAGCTGCGATAACTCATCGCCTTTGCGAACAACACGCGACTGGACGAACTCCAAGCGAAGTCCAGGGTCGTCTGCCTCGTCAGTGACCGAGTCGCGCGCCGGAGAAGTCGGCGCCCAGTCAGCGAGTCTGCGGAAGGGGCCCCCCTCTTCTTCGGGTGAGTGAAGTGTGCCAACTCACAAGGGCCGTGTAGCCGGTTCCAGGAGGCGACATGCACTAAGGAACCAGTCCCTACGTTCTAGAGGTCTTGTGTGTGTCTGCTCGCGTAAAGCAATATTTCTCCCGGGCTCCTCTCTTATGTGAACTAGTACATATTGGCGATTATCTTTAGGACTTGGCAAGAAAAACGGACGAAGTGTGAGACTGCTTTACATTGGCAAAGCGTGTTTTGTGGTCGAACTAATCGTCAGGTGCTTTGTTTAAAACGATAACATGATATGCAAAAAATATAGTATTGTTACCCAGAATACGTACCGTAGCTTTCACTAGATGCTCGAGGCTTTGCAGTACGTTGTGCACAGGCGATAGTTTCAACAATAGCTGCATATCAGCAGCCAACAAATGTGGGCCTCTACACTGCATGTTTACACAACTCCCAAAAGCAGCTGGAGCTGGGAAAGAAAACTTTAAGAAATACTCTCGGAGTCTGAGTTGTGCGATCAGTACTCCCAAGAGGATAATCATCTTAGCAAAATATTATCTGCCACTCAAAAACTTTGCTTTTAAGTTCCTCACTAGCATTGAAATGCGCTAAATGCAAACACGTTTTCGTATTTTTCGGTTTAGCTGAGATTTCTATGACATTATGAGATGTGCAGCCTTGTCAGCTACTTACCGGTAGCTACAACATTGTTCGCCAAGAAATATAAGCTTCAACCATATCAATATTCCCAAACAAATATTTTGCCTGTCCATCAGCCTGAAGCTACTAAACTCTGGGACATTTATCAAAACAAACATCTTACTGTAAATAATGTTTTAGCATGCATATCAGTATTTAAAATTTGATGGCCTCCGAAAGTCATGCACTTTTCTCGTTTTTTTTTTCTTTTTGATTGTACTGGGAAAGATTAGTGAAGTTCTGAAATTAATAATGTCTAGAATTCATGCTTTTTTCTCTTCTATGTGGGAAAAAACTTGGAATGTAGTAATGAGTAGGATTCATGCTTACATCTCTTAGTAATGACGTCGCTGGTTCAAAGATCCTAAAAGATAAGTAAATGGTTGCCAGAATAATAAAAATTAGTGTTAAAATGCTTAAAACAATTCTCCTGCGTGGACGGTAAATAGTCATCACCTTTCTTTTCATTCTTTGAGCTGTTTCAGGATGATTTGTTAGGTTGGGCACTTTATCAAAGCGTTGTTAATTTAGAGGCAAAAGAAAAAGCCGAAGCCAAGTAAAAATAAGTGTTGTCTTGTTGTCTTCCTTTCATATAGAAGTGCCTAACATATATTGGGGATTGCATGACGTACAAAAATGCTATCTCTAAAATCAGGTACTAAAAATTCTGATTTCACACACCATAGAACCATGATTCCTGAAAAAATTAGAAACGTAAGCAAGCTGGTGATTAATATTGTGCATAAATACATCGGAAAAATAAAACCAAAGCATCCACAAATACGAGCAATGCCTTGGTATTTTTATTCAATTAATAATGGTTTCTTAATATTATATAAAATGTTCTAAGGTGTGTTGGTATTTTTCTGCCTCGCTAAAATCATTGTAATGATATAGCGTATAGTTGTTACATAAAACACTTTATGTTAACACTTTTCTGTAAAACGTTATTTACACCATTACGTAATTTGGTCCAGCTAAAATACTCACCCAGAGCTAAGGAAACGCAAAGCGTCATAATTATGGCAACATTTTTTGATTCGTGAATCGACGTCTCGCGTTCTTATCTGTTAATGCTTCAAATCTCATTGGCTGTGGAGTAATGACGAGGTGCTTTGAACTCGCCAGGCACTGCATTCTTAAGATGTCAAAGACTACATTATGATATATTAAAGGCACGTAGCAGCATAAAGGTAGGAATTGGCACAACAGTATAACTTTCTTGTACTATGAGGCTCTTCAGCCCGTGGCATCGACTTGCTGATAAAGCTAGTTGAGAGCTCTAGCTCTTATCACAATTCTGACGACATGGCAGAACCTTTGCTCGGCATTGTTTCCTTCCACGAAAGATACAGCTTTTTGTCACGAGAAAATTCGAATACAAAATCTTCACAGTGACTAGAAATGCACTTCGAATTGTCGTAGTTGTGCATAAAATGACTGCGGCATGGCATGAGCATAAAGTTGGGACAAATGAAGATTGCTACCTTATCCATTCATGCCTTAAGAGGCAATATTTCAGAAAATCAAAAGGATCATAAAATTTTAAAAACGCTTGCTTGTTTTGTTTTCCAAGTTGTCTTGTCTATTTTACGATTTCATATTAATCTCAGAATATAAACTAGTTTTATTTTAGCTTTTAAGAACTAAAATTTGGCATAAAAATGAAAGCAAATACTGAAGGGTTGTTGTTCACGAACATGTATTGAATAATCTAAGTCGGTGTTATTTTATTTACATGGAAATGCCTAGTTTTGTTTTATAAATGATAAGCTCCGCAAAAAAAACAAACGATTAAAGCATATAATTTGCGTGATTAAAACAACGAAGTAAGGGGGGCAAACTTGAGCTAACAAAAAACCATGATCTCTCAGCTTACAGCTTCAAGTGGCGTATAGACATATTTGCGCCGATAGCGTCGACGCGTTGTGCTGTCCACTGAAAATTTAAATATTCTGCGTAAACGAGACCGAAAATAAACTTATAAACTTAGCATCCCAATTAACCTAACAAAGCTTGTGCAACAAAAGTTTTAAAGAAACAAGATAATTTAATAAATAACGTGGAGAACTGCAGAACTTATTAAACGCATAAAGAAACGACCCTTTGATGTGACCCATTCAAACGACTCAGTAGCGCTAAAATTTTATTTCGGTAAAATCCAAAAAACGAGGTTGTGAAGGTTAGGACGAAGCAAGCGGAAACTAATATAAGAATAGGCTTATGACTATTCGACATTATCCCTCCAAGAAACCCATTTGGCAGCATTTTTTTAACTTTTATTGACATAAAGTCACCATTGTTTTACTAAGCTCATGTAAGGTCTACCGGATATTCAGCGCAATTTATTAATGACTATTTTTTATTCTGCATCATATCTTCTTTGGCTTCATCGGAAGAAGCAATCTCTAGTATCATGATATGGCCAATTTTCTTATTATATCAGAAGATGGTAAAAGCGTGATGACATTTTTTAATGTCTAAAAAGTATTCTTGCGACAACAAGCTCAGACAAAAAAGTATAAACATATGCGGATAGCCAGTCGTCTGCTTCTTAAGCAGGAGTTCCAATGACGTCAGAACGACGCCGAGCTCTGATTGGCCTTAATTGAAAGGGTAGAGGGTAGACCTCGATGCTAAATGCCTTCAGGTCTACCCACTATTTTTCAGTCAGCAAATAAGATCTAAATTTCTGACATCATCGCAACTCCTGTGCAAGAAGCAGACAAACTTGCGTTAGGCCCTGCCATTAAAAACACATTTTTACGGCTGCCTGTGTGAGATTGGGTGTTAAAATACGGTTTATATAACTTAGCTATGACATTTATTTTGCAGCTAAGCGCTACTACAGCTATAGCAGATTACTTCAGAAACTGGGATTATGCTCTTTCTTTGTAGTATGTGGTTGCTGATTTTAAGTAAGGTTATAAATTCAGCTGTTGATTCATTAGTGCATCCTAGCATTGTTTGCCTTCGTGCCTTCTCTCAGTTCTGTCACTCTGAATGCCCTTTTTATCCATTGGGTTTCTTTCGTACGTCACCACCTTTAAAGATGAGACTCGAATATAACAAGTACCAAACTGTAATATATATGTTTGTTACATTAACACTTTTTGACGAGCAATCAAGTTACTAGTGTGTACATGATTATAACTTTATTTTTTTCTTTTTTTGTTCTTCTCATGTGTTTTTTTTTCTTTGAGAGCGGTAGCATAATAATGCCCCTTTCCGTCAAAAAAAGAAAAAGGAAAGAAAGCTTATATACGAAAGAAAGACCCCAAGCTCCAACCGAGACACTGCACACCCCGCCGGTCCTCACACATCGCCGCAAGAAAATAATATTTCGTTTTTTTTATGACGTGCCTCTTAATGCGCATTAAAGTTAGAATAAGCTATTCCAAGGTAGAACCAAAGTTTACTTTAAAAATAAAACCCGAATAAAAAGAGAGCCAAACTCTCAGAACACCGCACTGCCATCTGTGGTACCCGACTCAATGGCACTCTATTTCGGAGATTGAGAGCCAAAATTCGTAAATATACATATTAAAAATTAATATTAAACAGAAAATCCGCCCTAGCAGTTAATGGTCAAGAGTGCTTAAGAAAAAAAAAAAAACTGCTGGGCAGCGCGACCACTCACCACTAATCAGCACTAGCCAAGAAGGCTGGCACTATGTGGATAGCAAGTTCAAAGATAAAAAATATATCTATATATATGTTCGTTTTTATAACAAAAATTGACACAAATGTTTACCACATTTTAGTCAAATAAAAGACACGAAAACTTCCAAACCTAAGTATAGGCTAGAGTAATGCTCCGCTGAAAAATGAATTCCTTTGGCACGAAATGTTTTTTGGCAAGAGAGTCAGTTTTTTTTTTTTTTTTTTTTTTTTCATTTTACGCCGAGAGTCATTTTTGTCCGACTGCCCTACTGATGTTGAAACGGAGGGTTTTGTAAGGTCTATTCTAAGTTATGGGTTCATGACCTTATTTTTATGTAAATAATATATATCTTGACGTTATAATAAAGCTTTTCTTTCTTGTGGCGTTAAATAATATGTGATTTAGTTTGAATTTGTGCCAACTTCAGAAACATTAGGTTGCCGAAATACTACGCTGCTAGTAAGTCAATTTCGTGTCTAAATAATTAAACATCGTATTGTTGAGAAACATATTAGCACATATTCGGGTGATCTTAAATGGTCTTGAAATAAATCACAAATCGAACATTTTTTGAAGTTTTAACTTAGGCTACTTTATCTACTGCGAATCTTATGGGAGTCTGGACCATTAGCTCAAGTGTCTCTAGTTATATTTTTTTCCCTCAAAACATCCATCAATGGAAGTGTACTATGGTGATAACACAGTGTAACCGAGAGTTTGGTTACTCATAGGAATATCCAAGGCGTCCTTATTAATACGCAGTTCTTCACTGAAACGTGTTATTCGTTGGTTTAGAACGTCATCTCCGAAACAATTAATAGAAAGAAGGCTGTAATAGTGTCACTGCACCTACTACTCCACCGGCGCAGAGGAGTGTCTTTATATAGATTTAGGGAGGGAACAGAAATAAACGGTCCCTGCACAGCAGGCCTGCTGAATAAACTCTGGCATCACGTGACATGACGAGAGGTGGCATGACACCATCTCACTCGCCGAGCGTCATTCCCTTCTCCAATTCCTTCCTGCTTCTCCCAACGGGGGACTATACTCTGCTTCACCTAATGAAGGACCCCAGCGAATGCCAAAAGCCGTCGCAGCAGATCCAGACGGTGAATATACCACGTGACTAAGTAATTCCCCTGCGCATCACTCCACCTCCCATAGGTGACGTGATATTCACACTAGACTCCATTGGCTTCGATCAGCAACCGAAGTATAGAAAAAGCACAATAACTAAATTCTCACCACTTTGTACTTTCTATGTTTTGCAGTATGAGAGCATCATGCAAGCCAATATTAATGTATTCTAGCTGTTAGATATTATGAGTGGCGCATTAGAGAATTTCGCGCCACTCGGCGGCATAACTGATCAAGTTACCTTGTTTCATGTATATATGTAATACGAGCAACGGTGTGAAGCAGCGCAGTATACAATACCACCGAACCGCACATTTTGTGACTGAATATAGCTAGCAGCTTTGCTAAAAATATTTTAGAGTTTCCTTACAGTATTACAGGTTACTCATCTAGGTCGTTAACATGGAGCTTGCCTGCACATAGTGTTTAATTTAATAACTTTTACTGAAAAATTTAGCGTAATATATGCAGTTACTCATTTTAATAATTTTAGACAGCTCATTCACAAGTCAGAAGTTACGATATGACATAAAAAATGAGGATCACCAGAATTATAAAAGAAAAAAATTGTCACAATATTACTTTGGGACGTTTTGATACCTTGCATCGTGGTGAGTTCCTACAAGTGAACGTTACTAATTGTTTTCGACATTTATAAGGTATATGTGTTTTCATCGACGGCAACAGCCAAAAAAAAAAAAGTTTTTTGAGCGTCACGTTTGAAACACACGAACAAGACAGTCTTTAATTTTTCCGAATAAAATTTAATCAACAGAAAATATTATTTTTATTTTTTATTTTGTCCTGTTACTATTTAGGCCATGAATGTTTCGAGATCATTAACTTGGTTTCCTGTAAGGAAACTAAGTAGACATTGACTGGCATTAGTTTAAATGGGTTGTAGACAAAGCGATCTTTCACGCTCGGTATCATAAAAAAATGTTTCGATTCCACAAGTTCCGTAAATAGTTTACTTAATTTTTGAAGAAAAATAATTCAAGGGCGATCACTCTACTTTTTGTGCGACCAATGGAACGCAGTGCGTCGTGCTATCCAGTTTTTTTTCGGCGTATTGTATGAACGTCTTGAATTCTCAGAAAACAAGATCCACCGTCTTCTTAGTCACGGTTCGCGCCTCCGGTTTCTTCTCAGTCGAAGCTTTGGCATTCACTTCGATCCCGGCAATTGATTTTCATGATGCATTGCCGCGCCTTGTGCAGAAACAGACGAGGTGTAGATGGTTTTGTCTTTGGTTTAAATGTGTATAACCTAAGCCAGCTAGCCTGCTTTTTTTAACTTCCTCTTTATTTGGGTTCCACCAGTGCAATGTATAAAATCCAACATCGCAGTCGGATTAAATGATAAACTTTGCGGTATATTGTGAGAGCATGGTCTACAATCTATCAAACATTGCACGTCTCATTTCTCGCAAAACATCTTGGAGAGAAAAGTGCTTCAAATCTACCGAGGGAGTCAGTCGAATTACGAGGCTGAAAATATGCTTAGAAGAGCGAGCTGCGCTTTATCACTAAGCACGACGTAATCACGTGGAAGGTCATGTCCACCGTAACAGCGCAGACTGTTTTTGTTAGATTATGCAACTTACTTACTGTTTAGGAGTTCGCATTTGCAATTACCTTTACGAAGATGACCTGTCTGTACTAACTTAATAAAATATTGGGCTGAAATAGCAGATGTGGCAAGGTGGAGCGCGAGTTTGTCTGCTTCTTTTGCACGGGTCGTGGTGACGTCAGAACGCCGAGCACCGATTGGCTCGGATCGAAGGATAGTGGGTAGACGTCAAAGCAAGCTGCCTTGACGTCTACCCACTATCCTTCGATCAGAGCCAATCATAGCTCGGCGTTCTGAAGTCATCACAATCCCTGCAAAAGAAGCAGACGAACTTGCGCTCCTCATAGCCTCCTCAGATAGAGTACATACGGTCGTAACTGCCCAATTTTCAGTACGTCCAATCGGTTGCATCCCATTTAGGAGAAGTGAAATTTTAAGCTAACAAAGTTCTGAGAGTGCATTTGACAGCTATGGTGTTCTTTCTTCTTCGATATGCACCACAAACACCTAGTAACTGGGCAAATGCTTTTGTGTCATCACTGATAATGGTGTCCCTTGTATATCTTGCAGGGCAACGATTATCCGCGGCCAGAGCATGAGCCCAACCGGAGCCCTCGCGCTCTTGCTTGGGCTGTCCGCAGTCCAGGTGTCCTGGGCTAGGACTCCCATGTGCGGTCAGGCGGAACCCTGGACCGTCTCCGGGGGTTACAACCCCGTCATGGCAGCCAGAGGCAACATCACCCTGGTGGCGCTCTTGAAGGCTACCTGACCTTTCTGCCTGCAGCAGGCTTCCAGGTGAACGCTTTGTTTTGTAAGACTAAGATCCGCAAAAATAAAATGGCATCTCTATAGTCGGAATGCAGGTTCGCAATGCGCCAAATAAACATTAGCACGAACCATGTCGAAGCATCTAATCGCTCCGCAGACCAACCAAAAATATCACTAGCCATGACGAGTTATGTGACGTCAGTTCGTCATGCTCCTCAGCAGCGCATTTTTCGCCCATGACAAAGAAACAGTGGCTGGCGGCAATGAGAATTAGGAAAAAGCTTCTGGAAAAGTTCTAAACACGTAGCTAACTGCAGATGATGTCCAGGGTTCACTGTATGTCGAGAAAGTAGTTGCCCCAAACACTTCGGTCGAGGAAATGGGCTGAATGCATTCATCAAACTATCTTCGCCTGAACCACGAACACTTTATTGTTTCCTAAAAAAACTTTAATTTCTAAAGAAAAATTACGAAATGTCCCACAATGGTGCCCAACTTTAATAATGGTCATGATAGTGCTTGTCAGAAGGAAAGTCGCTGAATACAAGAAGAGTAACGCCAAGCTCCCATTATGGTTGCCATTTTGGCCGATTGAATAAGTATTTTCTCCTTCACCTCTCCATCGGTGAGCCGATCCGAATTCCCGCTGACAAATTTCTTTATTAAGAAATTGTATACACCGACTGTTATCAACACACGCAGGCAAAGCAAGTGCAGATCTTCGCACCGCCACCATATGCGGAGTCGATAGTTGGCGGCATGAAGAGTATACTTTCATGTCAAGACATATACAAGGACAATGTTATTTTTAAAGATCTGCGGAGAACAGCATTATTTATAACTTGATTACATCCATAGCGCCTTAGAGCTTATATTGGCTTGGAACGCTTTCAGTGAGATGACTCTCCATAACGATCTTAGCACGGCGGGTTCAGGATGATGCATTCGCAGTTTCGAGGATTTCAAGGAATCAAAATGGGGATGGCCGTGGCAAAAGATTCCGATCACCCCATTATCTTACGAGGTTTTGGTTGTCTCCACGTTTCTAACTGTTTGTGTCCTGCCATCAGGCAGGGAAGACAATGGCGCCACTTTCCCAAGACCCTTTGATTTTAGTGCGAACCATCGGAGCCCCAAAAATCCTGATTTATGACGTTTCAAACACTCAGCCTGGAAGCGCTGCTGCTGAAGCTGAGGGCCAGGAACCTGAGCGACGTCCAGTTCCTGGTTGTCAACTCGCTGGACTCTGCAGCAGAGGTCCGGCAGTTAGAAAGGAGAGTGTCCTTCCCCGTCTACCAAGAGACGGCCGACGAACCCGTGTGGAGCGTTCTCGAGGGTGATAAGGACGACGTCTTTATCTACGACAGGTACAAATCCTTTCTGTAGCCTGGAGCTTTCCGGATTCTGGGAGATCAGTCACCATCTTCTACGTGGCACTGAAATGTCCATAACAAATGTATCCCAATTCTTTAACGAAGTCTCTGAGAGGTAGTGAATTACGACATCGATTGAGGTTCTTAAATCTAAAAAAGCGTTTTGAGATAACATTAATCAGTAATGTAATTTTGCATTGTAAACATCAGGAAGACCTCCGGTAGCATGGGCATCGAAAAAAAGGCGGAGTAGCTGAGCGTTGCGTTACGCATCTCCTTATTAAACGAACTATAATAACTAGTGTCACTGCAAAGGGCAACATAATAATTTGTTTAAAAATGAAAGACGTTTACAAATCTCTGTAATGCGAAACTAGAGCGCAATTCTTGAGGAAAAGGATGGGGGAGGGGGGTACGGAGGGGAAGGTACGCCCCTCCTCCCCCTCCGTTCCTTCCCTCCTCCTATCCTCCTCCTTTTCCCATCTTCCTCTCCAAATCCTCCTCCGTTCTCTCCTCCGTTCTCTCCTCCTCATCCCCCTCCCCTTCTCCTCATATTCCCTCTTTCTCCTTCCCTCCTCCTCCTCTTTTCTACCTCCTCTCCTCCTCCCACTAAATTTAGCGAAGAAAGTTTCCCGCTAAATTTAGCGGGTTAAGTTTCCCCTCTAAATCTAAGGGGGAATCAAATGGGTGCTGGAGGTCACGTAGCGGGGAATCGCATTGGTGTTGAGATCATGTGACGTCAATTTTCTCGCTAAATCTAGCGATAAAATCGAATTCATCCGCCAAACCTAGCGGAGAAACTGAATTTTCCCAGCTAATTCTAGCAGGGGATTGAATTGGCTCTGAGGTCACGTTACGTCAATTTTCCCGCAACATTTAGCGTGGTTACACCGACGCTGACACCGACGCCGACACCGACGCCGACCCTGACACCGATCAGACCGGAAATGAACGCCCAAGAGCTACGCTCTAAAAAATGTGAAGGCTAACAAACTGGACACGATTAGAGTATTTGGGGGGGGGGGGGGGGGGGGGGGGCGGCGGCGGGGGTTCTTACTTATTTCAAACTTTTTACGAAAAACAACAACAGTAGGGCGCTGACTCCATGATCAAACTGAAGAACGCATGTCCATTCCCCGTTTCTTGTAAAAGAGAACGGACGTCACAAATCTCCAAATCTTTTGCAAACTTCAACCTCTCGTTTTCCTCTTCTCCTGGGTTGCAATGCCAACAAATGCTTTATTACTGAAGTACCCCGTCCACCTGCACTCCGTGACAGCTTAAGAAACGCAGGGGGTGCGCTTTGTTTTCATTGTTTTTGCTTTGCGAATCGTCCTTAGGCATTCTTATCAGCTAATTTCTAAATCTTATTAACTTTGGAGAGATAATTACATGCTCGGGACATCGCGTCAGTGATTATAGTTTGAAACCTTGTACTGGTTTCTTCAAAAAATTGCTTAAATTTTACCAGACTTAGCATACTTATTGTACTAGGGGACAACAACTTTATTGTTTTGCTGGTGAAAGATGGAGTACGTGCGTGCAATTCTAAATTGCGGTGAGTGCACGCTATTCTGTACCTTTAGCTCTATTGCAACAGAAAGTTGCTCCTGCGCCCCCCCTCCCTTCCCCCCTAATATACCCGCGCAACAAACAATTATATGTGTACACGACCTTTTATTTTAAAAAGAAAGCAGGGTTCCACAAATGCTCCTCTTTCTGTTCCAGATGTGGTCGCCTCTCCTACTTCATCCCCTTCCCGCTGAGCGTGACGCTACCCGGCCGTCACCCGGTGGTCGAGGAAGCCCTCAACACTACGTACTACGCCAGCCCCTGCGGCGACTTCTGCCCGCAGGACCCAAGCGCCACTCCGCATAGAAGCTCGCCGCATGAACATCAACAGGTAGTTGACCCCACTTTAGACGTCGGTGGCAGGATATGCACTCTATTTGACCACCGACTGATCACCTGACGAGACTTCATGTCGTTGCATTAGAACTCTTATTGTTTCGGGACTTTTTCTGGTACATTTAATGTTCGTATAGCTGCACCCCTCCTGTTCCACACTTTATTCCAAAAAAATGCTCTAGTTTCCTCTGGTAGACATCTTGATCTCTAGAATTGTCAGCTTTACTTTCGGAAGTATGTCTGGTACCTTTGTGCGTCTCTCGGAATTTATAAAGTAACTTATTTGAATTCATACTGTGAAGGCAAGACGGGCAGTTATGGAAACAATTATTTAGCGATTGCTCTCGGAAAAATACGAGGAGAGACGAAGACGCTCGAACTGGTATTCAAAATAAATATAAAATGTTTGAGGACGATAATCATGAATATCATGATGAACATAAAGTGGGTGTTTTCACTGAGAACGCTCACATGTGCTCCCGTGGTGGGGGGAGTGTGGCCTCTTGGAAACTCAATTTTGACGATGATGGCAGTCAGCAAGGGGTGAATGGTTTTAACCGGCGATCATAGAAAGCTTCGCGGGAGCGACGTCTGTGATCCGATGAAACCTGTAGGGGCTCGACAACGTAGTTCACGGAGGAAGTCTGGGCGAGTGTTTTGTAGGGGCCGACGTTGTTTACAATCATTTTTTCGCAGTGGCCTTGCGGGCGTGCAAGGAACGAGATCATCACGAGGTCTCGAGGCTGGAGAATGGTAGCTTTGTGTGTGGTGTCGTAACGTAATTTATGGTGCAGTTGATGCTTATTTGTACGAGGTTGTGCGGATTGACGGCTGTCATTTGACGTCGTGTATGGAAACCTGAGGCTGGGCTGAGTTGTACTGCGGGTCTAGAAGAGAATACGATATCGAGCGTAAATGTCGGCCCTCTTTCGTATGTAAGGCGGAAAGGGGGAGTTACCTTTTGTACTCTGGGTAGAGATATAAACGTATATGATGAAAAGTAGTATACTATTCTAGTTTTCATGATAAGGAGACACGTACTATATATTCGTCGTGACGTGTGCTACAATGTGTGTTTCTATTTTTTTTGGATAATGAAGTTGCACCGACTGTACTGACATTTTCAAAGAAATATAAGGCCCTTTTTATGCTTGTCAAATGTTTTCCCTACAGCAGCGGATACCAGGGGAAATCGCAGTCCAAGACGGAGGCGAGCCAGGGACCACAGTCAGCCCTCCGACCACTCCTTCCGAGGGTCTTGGTTGGAGAGTCATCCACATGGTCTTCGGGGACGGCCACCAAGGCCAGGTTGACTCTCACACACCTAGTCATGGCAAGTACTTGTGTAAACAAATTTAGAATCCTAGGTATGGCAGTCTTTTAAGACGATATTTTTTTTCTGGGCATCAAAAGTATTTAAAATTTCGAATTAGCCAAGGTAGAGCCAAACTTAACCTTCTTTGGGTACCTTAGCCCTAATCTTCCTACAAAGCGTCTAAGTTAGGCTCCACTCGTGGTTAGATTGGTTATCATCTGGCATCTTTTGGCCTAAATGGCCGAAAAAGTGCCAGAGTTAGGCTTCACTACTGGTTCTTTCGGTCATGGTGGCATATTTGGCTCAACTTTCACTTTTCAACTATGTGGCGAGCCAGTGAAAATTCAGCGAAACACCAAAGAAAAGTACTGTTTCAATTAACGGCTTGGACCCCAAACCCTTTGGGCCCACAATATACGTCTTGGATTACCAAGCTTTTACTAAGTTAGGCATTTCTCGGGCGTGCTGTCAAGTATGCGCATACTTTTAATGCGTGTGCACCAGAGCTAAAAAGAGCTGTAAAGAACACTTCCCAAGTTATAGTAATACTCTGTGAAGTCCATCGTACCCATTAACACCTCAAATTACAGATTCTGTTCCAGTTGACTTTAGTGAAACACATATGCTCCCCAAATTTTTATGTCTCGTACACCACTAGGCTCAAGGCAAACAGCATACTTTCCCTCAAAATTTTTGGATATCTTATAGGATCCAATTTGTAGATTTGTCTACTCTGTAATACTTGTACAGCCGATTTTTAAACATAATTGTAAGTGTAATGGTTGAAGGAATGCAAAAAGTAGAAAAACGATTTGCATCTTGACCGAACTACACGGAGAAGCGTGTTACATGCAGAAAAATAGTTCGTACCTGTCTGAGGTTGATCGCTTTCTTGTTATATATTACTTGTTTTTGAGAGTTCAGAAAAACGCGAGACCTCAATAAATAGCTAAAGACCAGCGATCGCTTGTCTTTACTCCTTTTTCCATATTTTCGTAGTTCAGCTGGTTTAACCGTTGTAATAAGCAGAAGGGTATGTTTATTGTGGCATCACATATTTTGAATCATTGGTGGCTGGGCCTTATACCTCAATGTAAAATAACATATATCATCATCATCATTATTTTATTCTTTATTGAAGACCTGAATTGTTATTAAACATAACAGTGGCCATGCGTATGTTGTAGAGACGAATAATCCTGTAGTTTGCGCAGTAGTAAAAAATCATGAGCCAATCCACTCTGTAAAGGTGGATGACCAGCCAAGCTGTTGAGCACACGACACAGGCGTGACGCAGAATGTTGAACTAACTTACGAACACACTTATTGACTTGATTGGTGGTCATCCTGAAGGAAGTTACGGACACACATGTCGAGGACTATCGCCGCCCCGAGGAGCCGGAGGATACTAGACACGCGCGACGGGATCGCCACTCGGCGGACGAAAAGGAAACTAGACACGCAAGCGCTTGGAACGACGACAAAGAGAGGGCGGTGCGCTCCCCTCTTCCTTCTCCTTCCGGCAAATTTTCCCGCTTAATTTAACAGAAATATTTTTCCGCTAAATTTAGCGGGGAAATTTTCCTGCTAGAGGTAAACTTTTGTACCAAATTTAGCGAAAGAATCTTTCCACTGAATTTAGCGGGCTCATTTTTCCCCCCATTCAGCGAGAAAATTTGTCCGGTAAATTTAGCGTAAAATATTTCCGATAAACTTGGTGGGGAATTTTTTTCGCTAAGTTTAGCGGGGAAAGTGGACTTTTTGTTGACGCACACGAAAAACCCACGGACCCCTTGCCACAAACAGCTTCTCTGTAAACGGTAGAAAATATATGAGTTTATAAACGCTGAAGTTTAGCGTATAGTTAGTGTTCAAACATAATAAAAGCAAAAAAAAAAAAAAAAAAGCAGCACGAAAACGAGGACAAAGAAAAAAGTAACTGACAGGAAACAGCCCAATCTGGCACCAGTCCGAGCTCAGATTCCGTTAGCACCCCTTCGGTTTTTCTTGAGGGTAAAAAGCAGCAATTCTTCAAGCGAGGAAGCCATACAAGTGACGGTGGTGTAATGAACAGGTGATATGCATGGTTTGCGTTTCTCCATGGTTTATTCGGGTGAAATGTATGTTATTTATTCTAGATGCCAACATGAAGAAACTCCATTTGAGAGTCAGCGCTGCTGCCTCGGAGTAACGCGTTACTGTGCAAATATATTCTAGAGTCATTTATGGATATAATGGGCTCATTTAGTGCGTCCCATTCATTTAATTGTCAAATCTACTACAGCAGCTTGATTATAAACTGTGGACGAGAAAGTTCGACGCAATTTGCCAGAATAGTCGAGAGGAGGAGCAAAGGAGGTGGTAGAATATATATATATATATATATTCTACCACCTCCTTATATATATATATATATATATATATATATATATATATATATATATATATATATATATATATATATATATATATATATTTAGTGCATGGTCCCAGAAGCGTACCCAGACACTCTAGGAGGCTAAAGCTAACTTTCGGGACATGCACGGCCTGTCGTATAGTCACTGTAGATGAGAGAACGGCATGGGGCAGCCTCTGCTGTCCCGCCTCCAGCTTGAGCTTCCTACCTCCGACAAAGCTTCGGCATCTGGTGCACATCGAGCACGCGCTCTCATGTAATTCAAGCACGGCAGAAGGCACGAAGCACGGGCTGGAGGACAAGCGTTCGGAAAACACGCACTTCGCTTCCCACTTTGCCAATCACTATTGGAGACGTGCGCGACCAAAAGCGTCGCTGTGATCAGTCCTCCACGATTGGCCAAGCGCTCACAATGACGTCTTCGGTGGGATAATTTCTGCTCTCATAGACGGAAATAAGAGCAATGTCAGACTATCAACCTTGACAGTGTTCATTGAGGAGCGTGTTTTCTAGGCCTGCACCCTGCTTTTTACGCGTATTCGAACTTGTCGCTCGCTGCTGATAATCTCGATCGTGACGTCAGAAATAGGAACCGTAAGAGGGCACTAACCAAACATTTTGTCGCCATTAGCGGATAACGAGACTGTTTCGCTGCGAGCCACGAAATGCAATGGGAAATTACGGGAGGCCTGGTGCTGATTTGAATAAATTTCTGGACGTCATTCTCTTTGCGTGCCTATATGACTGGAAAAGAAGAGTCTTGGAAGCCGGTGGTTCAATGCGGTACTCAAAATCTTCGCGACTGTCTTTTTAGGACTATTTCAGCCAACAACCTGAGGTTTCTCGGGGACTTCTTTTCAAATCTCTCCTGCTAGCGTCGATCACCATAGTTATCTTTACGTAGAACACGTCACGGGCTTGGCTATGTGGGAAAACTCAGGCTTAAAATGGGATAAAATAAAACGGTACGATAACGACGTTATTATCTAAATTTGGCGGCCGATGCAACGCCCACTAAATTTAGCTCTCTTAACTCCCGGTAAATATAGCAACCAAGGACGCAACATGACCACGTGACTACAAGACGTGACGACCCTATAACGTATCATATATTCAAACATCTTGCGAGCAATTATAAAAAGCAGTTAAACGAATTTTATTACGCATGTTATATTTAGGACTTCGGTTTCACAAACACGTAATCTCCAAAAAAAACTGTAACGAGTGATTGCCCCACTAAACTTAGCAAAGAAAATGCTTCCCGTTTAATACTAAGGCTATTTAATAGCGTCAGGTAGCTTCTATTTTTCTGGGATTTATAGTGTTAACTAAATATATAGCGACATACGGTATATATCTTATATTTTTCACCTGCTGCCTCTTCCCACTTCCGTTGTATTGTAAAGTCTCTCGCATTTCAATTGTGTATCAACATTACATTCAGTGCTGCTTGGCCTCCAATATTGCTTACGGTTTCCTCTAAGAAATAAATTATACAGATAAGACAAATAAGGTACGACATTGCACCCCGACTTCTAGGCGTCTTAGCAATTAATAAAATCGTTTGAAATCTTAAAGAAAACAAAAAAAAACACCTTTATTTCCCTTTTGGATGCCACCTACTGCAGCTCGAGAAGGCGGAGTGACTACGGGCGCCCCCCACGACCACCAGGAAAGACAGCCGACGCCCATGGAATGTGTGTCCATCAACAAGGCCATCTGCTTTGACTGGCCCAAGGAGCGAATCCGCCACGTGGAAAGCTGCTGCAACCACACCGTTCGGTCCAGGAGCTATCACTTCCGCCACTCGTGCCGGCGGCTGACGCGGCGACAATGCAAGAAACTCCACCACGTCTTTTCGTGCTGCAAGCGCCTGCACGAGGCCCTGGATCGACAGATCTCCCAAGAGTACGAAGGCGTCCAGACTTTGCTTGACGAGCAACTGGTGGCCGAAAACGACAGCTCCCGTGCCGTGACGGTCGAGGGGGCCGCTAACGTCTGATGATCGTAGCTTCTTGCAGCTGTAAACTAGCTGCAAGAAGAACTCAAATTTCTTGAAATCGAAAGGGCTGGAGTGCCGAGTTAATGAGTATGTCGCTTATATTTTGTGTGAGATCGCTTAATCTTAGAAGTATATTGCCAATAGAATGTTTGGGCCTTATTCGAACATAGTCATAATTGTTTTTGGTTTCCTTCTCAATTTAGGTGTTTTTTTTTCTTTTTTTTTTTTTTCTTTTTAAATTTTGAGGCACATCTGCGAAGATCGCTGCTCTGGAAATATATCTAAAATCAATATTATACAATATTAAAAAAATCCCATATCTAAATACGCACGGAAAATGAACCAAACTCGCATTCGCCATTGTTTTGCAGTAATCACCCGTTTTTTCAAAATCACAAATGTTTTTTGTTGGGTTTGTTTCTTAGTTTCCCAGTATCGAAAGTTTTTTTCTCACTGAACAGTAGCTGGCTGGCCTATAGCTCTTATCACTGAACAATTTTCTTATCTAGCCTTGAAAGTGTGGCCTAAAATACTTTAGGAAAAAGACAGGTACACATCCTTTGAACGTGTCTAAATGTACTTTTCAAACGCTAAAGGATCGTTCTCGCTTCATGAAATGTTCACATAATCTACGCGCAAGTAAGCAATACATGACAACTCACTCCAACCCGTCGACTGCGTGTAAAACCTTCGCTCGATATTGATGACCCCTTGCGAGACAAACCGCGCCGCGAAACTCCGAGGGTGATGTGTCTCGAGCTGGTGGAACACGAACAGCTTTAAACTTGACCAAAAGTGTCGAACAAAAACAAAAAGCACATTAAAATGTAAAGTTAGCAAATACGGCCCGTTGTTACACAATATAATTACTCTATCGGTGTATGCTAAAAATAAAGAATTAATATTGCTTCGTTCACTCAAGTCTCATAAATTCCGCAAAAGTATTATTTATAATAAAATAAACTTTCTATAAAACTTTAAAAAAATGAGAACTTTTAGCAAGTTTATCTTGCGCACAAAAAAAATATATAAAAAGATAAATAAGGGTGGAATTGTTGCTCCGGGATGAGAGTATTTGTTGAGATTCATGTATGAAAACTGTAAACTAAAAACGTGCAAATGTTTGCACAAAGTTTACCTGTTGGATGTAAGAATTATCTCGAGTACTGTTGTTTCGGTTTGAATTCTACTGCAAATAAAAACAAAATAAAACGTTTAAAATCTCTCAAATCCGTATCTTACGTGAATTTTTCTGTTCGAATTTGTCTCCTTACAAACCAACTTGCATAGTAAACGCTACAAGATCGCTCCCCGAAAGAACGAGCTCAGGGCGTTGTCAACAAGACTCCTCCTGCACGGATTACGGCGCCACACACTTTGAAACAAACTGCCTGCACAAGAAGGACGTGCCCATATTCAACCATGAGCGCAGTGTTGTTGCTGAGCACTCCGATGTCAAAGATCAACGTTTTGACTTTGAGAAAACATTCAGCCTCGCATTAAAGACTAATCCTCGGAAGAAACTTGTAGTAGAAGCTTGGCATATACAGACCACACCAAAAAACATAAACAGGTGCCTCGGCAATTCACCTACGTTATACACTAGAGACACTAAATAAGCTACGCTTCATAGTAGCGACACTTCAGCAGTCTTGGGGCTTGAAATCATGGTTGCCAGTTATATAAAGCTTTATCCGAAATCGCGGGGAACGGTTTTCCGTCCTTCGTGAATGTTAAAACAGTTCACGACAAAGCAAGACAATACAACCTGAGGTTGCTAACAACGTATCTAAAGCTGAGGAAGTCGCATTTTTTTAATTACGGCGATCGACAGTTGTGTGTGCTCCGCACTAAGCACCAAGATGGCGGCTCCGTCTAGAAGACCGGGGAACAGAGTGCCGATACTCTAAGCGAAGCTCATTTAGTGGTTTTATAGTATACCACTATATCATTTATAGTAGTACGTGACGAAGGAAAATAATATAAATACACAACCTCTAAGAAGTGGAAGAAACTGCTACGAGTCAACGTGCGTACCAGCTTAATGAAGAAGCTTATCCTCAACAAAGTCGACCCTGATACAGGAACCGAGTCTGTTCAGAAATGTAGGACCCCTTGATATTTAGGGATTGGTTGGTGAATATTTTTCTTTTCGCATAGTTTGGTCCCAACCAGAGAGGCTTCTGACAAACATGTGGGATTGCAGCTACCAAGATATGTGCCGATGGAGCAATAAAAAGGTTATTTTAACAGCGGCGGCGATCTCAAAGGAGTTGTCAAACCTTGCAGCGCGGTTCCCACATATCCTCGGCAATTTAGATGAGGTTCAGGGCTACATTACCGCGGGTCAGTTTGATAAGTACCTCCGTCGGGGCCAATGATCGACTACCTCGTCTTACCCTCTCGAATATTGCGGAAGAGACGACACATCTACCAGAGTAAGGACAGAGTCCGAAAGCATTTATTAACATACTCTAAAGATGAACTACTATGTCCCCATCCCAAATGCCCCATCAAAAATGACCCCTCGCACTAACATTCCTTGAGACAACTCCGCTGCTGCAGCCTCCCACGAAATCTCACCGTAAACACAGCTGTTCAAGCCGTTTACCAAAACAGACACGGCTATTGCGACAACGCTCTCACGAACGCGCGCGCAAACGACTCATCGACTGACGCAACGGCTTGCCCCAAACCCCTCCAAAAGAACTCGAACCTTGAACGTACTCGGAAAGGGTGAAAACCATGCGACCCGAGAGAGCAAACTAGGGCGAGCACCCGACAAAAGGGCGAAAGAAAGAAAGAGGCAAGCGCGCAAGGTACGTCGACGACGAAGACGAGGGTTTGGGCGTCTAAGTTTAGACTCGCGCGCGGGCCAAGGAGATTCAAGAACGGGGTCCGCGCGGAGCACTGGAATGCCGTTTGCACCACCTGCGTCACGGCGGAAGCTCCGTGTTTTTAGCCGCCCTGCTACCCGTCGCTGAGAGCGCCAGTTGGGAGCGAGGAGACACGCGAGCGTTCCACGGATTCCCCCTGTGCCGAGAATCTCCGAGAGGTTCTGGTATTCGACCGTCATCTGTGGAACGGGTCTGTGAAGAGCGCTGCTGAGTTCTTCCGTCGAGGTAAGAGGCATGTTGTCGCAGTTTGGCGTGCTGCCTCCCGAGCATCCTATTACCGCAGGAAATTAAAATTGCGCATTAGGCCGATAAGAAATTGTCGAAGAACAAATCTAGTAGCAAGCAGAGTGAATATTATAAGCTATGTGCCTGCGTTTCTTAATTTGTCAGTGACCATTGACAGTGACAACTTAAGAAATAGTGGGTGGTGCATCCTATTCCTTAGCCGTTTAAACTGCATCCCAACAAGGTTGACGAATCGCGAAGAAAAGAGTGCGGAGCTAATACGTCCGGCATGTGTTTTGCAAGTTTTCAGCGATTAGCTTAAGAAAGGCCTCGAGGATGGCAGTCAATTAGTGCGCAGCATTAGGCGAAAAGAGCCGCAAAGAACGAATCGCCAAGCAACAGGCGCGAACAAAATAAGTCGACCTCCGAGTTTCTTAAGTAGCGAGTGCCTGTGAAATGCGCTTTACTTGGTTTCACACCGAGTCTGGAATACATTAAAACAGACACTCAAAATAAAGAGGAAATGTCGCTGCGCATGAGCTGCGTCCGACCGGTTTTTATTGTTTTACTTAAAAAAAAAAAAACTGAAGTGGTTTTGTATTTGAGAAAACACACTTAAATCGTCTTTATTTGGCCTCCAGGATCACGAATATCTAGTTATTTTTTTCCCATTTGATGCAAGGAGGCTGCACACTAATTATTTTCGGAGTACCACTACACTCTAAGAAATGCCTGCGCAACAACTTTCCCGCAAAACACTCAAAGAACCAATCATTACGATCTAGGAAATCACCTCAGCGACTGATGAGGCGGAACATCCGTTTAGACCTCAAAATGCAGTCTGCGGTTTGTCATTACGCAATGCAAAGCGTCATGCTTGAATTGCATAAAGCCACACCGCAGCCTGCATTTAGAGGTCTAAACAGTAGTTCCGCATCATCATTCGCCGAGCAGATTTCGCAGATCACAGAGATTGGCTCTTCGAGTGTTTTGCCGGTAAGTAGACGCACAGGCATCTTTTAGAGTATAAAGCCCCTCGTCCACGGAAATTTAACGTCATATTCAGAGTTTTAGAAATCTCCGCTATGGGCGCATCGTCAGCTCCTATCAAAGTTACTCATGGGCACTCTCGCTATTTTGAAAATAAATAAAGTCAAAACAAGACGTCGAGACTGATGTCTGTGCGGGGGAATGTACCGCTTGCAATTGCGCGCGCAGCCCACTCGCGCGACACGCGGTTGGCGGCCGAAATATCTGGGTATGACGTAACGAGTGGTAGGAAGTTTCCCGAGTTTAATTGCGTTTAATCAAATCTCCGAGGGAACACAAGCGTGTTATTCAGGTTCACGGAATGAAAATACTCTAGAATTCACCACTAACTCTTCTTTCTTTTTCTTTTTTAGAAAATTAATTTTTTTTCTTAAAGTCCGAATGCAGCTTAGTCTACAACCCGAAAGCGGCAATCAAGCAGCATCAAAACTACATTGTCAGGGTGATCGATTTTTTCGTCGGTTAGCTAATAGCGGTTTAGCCCATCATACACAAAACAAGGAGTAGGATGCGGCCCATACACTGTACCTTAGTGGCTTAGTCGACAATAACTAACACAGAAAGGCGATGAGTGGCGTGACGATGAAAATTACGCGCTGCTTGATCTGCGCTCCATCAGTTCTGAGAAGCGCTCGTCCCGTTCGCCTTCCTTTTTGTTCTTGTCTTATGTCTATAGGTTTTAATTTTATAGATCATAGCGTAAAGCATACGGTCAGACTTAAAGTGAAACAAGATATATAGCAGGCGATGGCACACCCCCTCAGGTGATGGCACACCCCCTCAGGTGATGGCACACCCCGTCAGGCGATGGCACACCCCCTCAGGCGAAGGCACACCCCCAAAGGGGAGCGAGGGACGTCGTGGTTCGGCGCTTCTGATGCTATACTTGAATGGCCGCACTGGTTCGTAGCATCGACCTGCGTTCCGATAAACTTAACGTAAACCGAAGTATAGAATACGTTAGTTTTGTTACAGACCACATATTTTTAGGAAAGGCTATGTTGCTGCCCGCAAAGGGAAGAAAATGGCGGGCTGGGCTGCTATGCAACACTGGTTTGAGAGCAAATGTGAAATCTGACATCACATTACTTTCGTGTGCAACACACTAAGTACATTATCGGGTGTTTGGTGCACCAGCGATTGGTTGGGATGCTTATGTTTTTCGGCTTTTCCTCGTTCTTAGACACTCGACTAAGGCGTGAGGGATTTTCATGATGTGCGACTGAGTTGAAAGGTCGCGTATTGGCGGTTCATAAAGGCAAAGAAAAACATCTCGAACGATATACGATTACCGGAATACTTACAGGTTTCAACGAACAATGAGGCAAACACGCCAATATGATGCAGTAGGAGCCGTTTTAGGCATTCCATTCTCTTTACACTTTTCAGTATTCTTATGTGTAGAAAAGAACGCATTGCTCCTCTAGCGAAGAATAAGTAATGTACGTGATGACTGGATAAGAAAGCAAACAGAGATCTGATAATTATAAAATCTCTGTTTATTTGAAATAACTTAACTCGTTCCTAATTCGATTCATACAACTAAAACACGTAGCGTGTAAATACTGAACACACCGCGGAAACAAGCGATGGTCAGTTTTTTTTTTCCTACAATAAAAGGTATGTCGACCAAACTCCTTGCTTGGTGGGAAGTGCTCATTATGACACTTACCTATGCTGTTACGTTTGATGAATGACAACATCTTAAAAAAAAAAAAAAAAATTCTCAATTTTGTGTTTGTGCTTACAGTGTCCCGCGGTGTGTATTATGTACCGATTGAATTAAATATTTAAGAAATATTTAGTAAATTGTATTTTTGGTGCGAAAGGCAGGACAACTTATTTTGATTACGTACTAGACGAACTTGATGGCCTTTTTAGGGAAACAGTTACCATCGTGGCTCATCCTTCAATGACTTCTGGGCGTTACTGGATGTTTAACAGAATTTAGCTACGTGAGTCACTATTCGAAACCAAATCTAAAACTTTTGAATGGTTTTCTATGGGAAGAGGGGTCATTATAAACCACTAACTAACGGTTAAATAATATTGCTGTTT